ACACACACACACACACACACACACACACACACACACACACACACACACACACATATATATATACACACACCAGAGATATTTCACACGTGTAAACACTTGTGTACAGGCCAAGAGGCTATTTTTCAGGCAGGTGTTACAAAGTTTAAAAATATGAAGAAAAAACTATTATGACATTACAGTATAGAAAATTTTAAACATTATAAACATAAAAACTTTATTTAAAAAGCTAGAATGGTCAAATGAATTTGTTAGATAAAGTAATTTTCAAACTAATCAACTTGATTGACTGACAACAATCTGACAACAATTGTTGAGACAAAAAAAACAAACATATTATTTTTGTTTGTTTGTTTTTTCTTTATAACTAACTTTGTTATATATATATATATATATATATTATGTTACTACGCGTTCATCTTTTACAATGTTTTGGGGAATTTGGGCATTATTTCCTCAGTAATGTTTCACAGGTTTTTAAAACGCCTGATCTTTTCCTCTAATGGGGTTTTTGATTTTTTTTTCTTAGGTTAACTGAAGGTCCTACACTTTGCTGCGTGTCAAAAATCTAACATTTGTTAGAAAGCAACACTACTGAAAGCAGTTTAAATTATACAGTATTACAATGACCGTAAAAAGAAGAACAAACATCAATGAGAAACTGACGTGAGAGCTGAAATCGAAGAATAATAAATGTTGTGACGTTTTTTTCCATTAAAAATATTATTTTGGACAATAATTTGTTTATTTATATCACCAGTTAACACCACAGATCATTTAGAAGCTTTACCAGATTTTGGGGTCATTGAAGCTAAGTTTCAAAATTGATTAATACTGAGCAAAAATTAATTACGTTTGGCTGCTCAACRTGAGACAAAGTAATGTGAACAGTTGTGAAAACAGCTAACCGATAAATTATGTTGACATCTGCACAGAAGACCGTCTTGCGCCTGTAAAACTCTGCAGAGGGCACGAATAACCCACATACAAAAGAGGAAAATCAAGTTGACGTTAGCACCGTTAGCTTAGGGTTAGCTATGTAAGCCTAAACAGCCTGGTGAGCCCTAAGCGCCCACGGTTAAACGACTACACAGCTTAAATGTTAGACAGTTAGTCATAGTAGGATCAAATGGTAAGCACTTTATATGCCTCTGTGTTTAATAACCTTGAGAAAACGTGTAATTATTTGTGCGATAGCATGTTGCTATTTTGTTAGCTGGCTACCTAGCTACAGCAAGAAAAAATCTGACAATCTAGGTTTCTCTTTAGCGATGCTAGGAGCTTTAAAGCGTCTGGTAAATCTAACCATGCTCATTTTTTTGTGTTTGTGCATGTTCTGCCACGAAATAAAAACGTATACAGTAACGTAGAACAAATTGACGCATAGCTTAGCCCATTAGCCTTAGCTAAAAGCTAAATGAGCACTGACTTCTTAGGGCGAATCCTACTACTAAACAGAAGTTTGTAATCTACTGTTGTTTGTGTCCACATATTTTTAGTTGTTTTGTAGGGATTTGTGTGAAGCTGAAATAGAGGTATAAATTGAGCTGTATAAACTAACGTCAAACGTTTTGTAGGTTTATGAGAATGTGCAGCCATGGGAGACATGAAAACCCCAGATTTTGATGATCTTCTGGCAGCCTTTGATATCCCAGATGCCACCGGGCTGGATGCTAAAGAACCCGTCCAGGGCAACCATGAGGAGACAGAAAATCAGCTGAAACGCACAGGGATCTGTCTAGATGACAGCCCGCTGAGGAACCAAGCTGTCACAACTGCAGACATTCCTCTGGTCGGTGTTATWGTGAAAAACACAAGTCGGCAAGAGTCGCTGGAAGATTTCAGCGATGAGCTTCATTCAGGACAAGCGTTGCAGAATGGATTCAGGGGACAGGATTTTGACCCTGCAGCGCCGACCAACACTGATTTTCCCAACTCCTTTCAATGTGCTTTAAATGGTGAGAGCTCAAGAGAAGCTCCTGAGAGAACTCCTGTGCAACAAAAAAGTGACGAAACTGCAATATTTTCTGAGTCACCTTCACATTTTAGCCCAGTTTCTAGTCCTGGATGCAAAGATACTCTGTGTAGTGGAGAAAAAGTAGTTTCAAAAGAAGTGCGACCTTGTTTTTCAGAAGCTCCACTTTTAGAAGAGCCGTTAGTCCCGGACAATCTGAAACAATTGGACCTTTGCACATTTAATAACTCTCCCAAGAGCACTGAAGAAAGCAGAACAGAAAATGGCAAAAATGAGGAGCTTTCTGGCATCAGCATCAGTGATGAAACAGAACGAAATCCTGGCGTACACAATGCATTTCCTCCTTCGAGCATTAATGAGGATTGTAGTAAAAATGGCGATCCAGAAAGCATGGTGGATGCTACGGCCTCTTACTCACCTGCCACATTTCAGACACCTAAATTGTCCTCATGTCTTGAGGCTCTGGTTGCTCTGAATGCTCGAAAAGATCCTAGTGAGCAGACTAATCCTAGAGAGTCATCCGCAGTGCAGAATGACTGCATTAAAGCTAGCCACAAAGTAACCATGTCCCCAAGAAGCCCCAGAAGTCCACTTGAAGCAGTAAAACGTCTAGTAAAACCTTCCGATAGCCCCATGAGCATCTGCAGTGACAGCAGTGGTAAAGCATCCCCTGCAGTCACATCAGGGTCACCTCCAGCTATACCCAGAGTCAGAATTAAGACTATTAAAACAAYATCTGGGCAGATAAAGCGCACCGTCACCAGTGTGCTGCCAGACTCGGAAACAGATGAGTTTCATGCTTCTGAGTCCTCACCATCACAGAGTATGATTAGTGAGGATTCGTACTGCAACATGTCTCCGCATCAGCCTCGAACTGTTGATTGTGTTGTTGGAATACAAAGTCAAGGTAGAACTGCTAGCGCAACCGTGCCGAAAGTACTGCAGAGAAAGTCAGAGGAGAAGGCAAGGAACGCTGAAACATTTTGTAGCGCTAGTCGCTCTGTAAAGAGATCTGGTGTGCATCAGGTGCATAAACCCGAAAAAGCATCGCCTACGACCGGCCAAACGTCTAACACAAACTTTCTTCCCCAAGCGATGCACTTAGCAAGTCTAAACCTGGTTCCTCACAGTGTCGCTGCTTCGGTGGCGGCGAGGCCCTCTTCACATCAACAAAACTCGCACATACTGCCCTCCACCGTGTGCAGCACTGTCCCACTGGTGCATCAGGTGAAAACAGCCAGCCGTCCTCCACATTCATTTCTTCCAAACACAGTTGCAGGGACTTTAAACCGACTGCTGAACAGTACCAACCCAGTGCCTGTGTATGTGCCCAACCTGAGCCCCCCCGCAGAGAGCAATATCAACCTTCCGTCACGCGGATACTGCTGCCTCGAGTGCGGAGACTCCTTTGGCCTCGAGAGAAGTCTCGCTTATCATTACAACAGAAGGAGCGTTCATGTCGAAGTCGGGTGCACGCACTGCGCCAAGACCTTGGTTTTCTTCAACAAGTGCGCCTTGCTGGCGCACGCACGGGAGCACAAAAGCAACGGCTCCGTGATGCAGTGCACGCAGCTCCATTTGAGACCCATATCAGAGGAGCAGATGTTTGCACCCCTGAGTGCTGAACTGGTTCCAGCAAGTCCTCACACCCTTCCTTCACTCTCACATAAAAGTGAACCAGTCCTGCCCTTGTACCCGGATAACGTTAATCGCCACATACTTCGTTGTCTAGAGTGTAACAAACAGTTACCCGACTACAAAGCACTCGCAGGTCACTACCAAAAGTCATCAGAGGTGGTTGAAGGGCTGGTGAGTACATATTCTGATGAATATTCTTTGTCTTTGTAGCGGAGTCAACAAAATTGTTAAAAAACAAACACCTTTTTGCTTTATTTTGAAAATGTTTGCAGCAAAGATAAAACTATACGGTTTTAGTGACGCAGAAAATGTTTTCGCACTATTAAAAGATGCTGCAACTAGTTTTTATGTCGTCCATGTCATGACATTTAAACTTTCCTGCTTGTTTTTATCACAACAGATTTGTAAAATGTGCTCAATGCTGTTACCCAACAAGTGTAGCTTCAGAGCTCACCAACGCATTCACGCCCACAAATCCCCTTACAGCTGTCCGGAGTGTGGCGCCGCGAGTCAGTCTGCAGACATTCAGAAGCACGTCAGAGAAAACTGTCTGCATTACGCTCGCAAGGCCTGGTACAAGTAAGCATTCAAGGGGAAAACAGAAAATTTCTCCAAAATGTGCTGGGCAGTGTTTAAAAAAGTGATGTTTTTGTTCTCTTTTCCTTCCAGATGTCTTCACTGTGATATGGTTTTCAGGACCCTACAAGGACAAAAGACTCACATCGAAGAGAAGCACTGTGAAGTCTTTTACAAATGCTGCATCTGTCCAGTCGCGTTCAAGACCCCTGAGAGCTGCGACGTTCATTTAAACAGTAAACACAGCACTAACGATCAGTTGCCTCAGTACGTTCATATTTTATGACCTGTTACAAGTTGCATTGTTTCTTTTAAGGTTGTTATAACAATGTTTGCTTTCCCCCCTGTTTGCAGGTTGGTCTTTAAGTGTTCATGTGAAGCAGTTTTCAAGAAAAAGCAGCTATTTTTTCAGCATTTTCTTGAAAATGCCAACAAGCGAGTGACGTGCGTGTTTAAATGTCCAGAATGCAACTCAGTATTTCCACAAAAGCGACTCTTAGTGCATCATTTCAAGGTTAGCTATGAGCAAGTTTTTCATAAAAATAAGTCTTTATGAAATTGCAGTTTGAGTTCTTTTAATTTTTTTATCTATAAATTATGCATCTGACATTAAGTTTTATGTAATAAGTTCTTAGCATGAAGTAGAGGGTTCTGTGTTTCTAAACTTTTTTTTCTTATGTTTTGCAGGGTGTGCATGCAGGAAACATGACGGTGGAGACCGAAAAGGACACCAAAGACGAAGACAAGACAGACTGTTACTCAGATTCTCATCCCGTCCTACAACAGAGGAGCCAGGACACTCGAAAACACGCAGATAATCCCAGAAAAAAGTCAGAGCAAGATGGCGGATCTCGCGTAAAGCCCAGCGGCTGGACGTGTGGCGAGTGTCTACAGTGGTTCACGGAGAGAGAGGCCTACGTTTCTCACATGAAGAACAACCACGGAAAGGTAGGCGCTCGTGATTGAAACCATAGTTTAGACACAGATGAACAACAGTTTTCTCTAAAGGCATCTTTCTAAGTCCATATGGGTTTTTTTTCCAGTAGAATATAAATATGTGACCTGGGCTGGCAAAATGAGTCACAATGAGGAATCGTTCAATATTGAGTTATATTTATTTTCAAATCATCCATCTTAAAAGCTTCAAAATGATACATAGTTTGTTGAAATAAGGCAATTTATCAAATGGTCTGGTAATAAGCACACCCAATTTTTATTGGTCTAAAATGACATCATCAGTAATTCTTGCTGTGTATTCATGAAGTGGAATCCCCAAGCTTCACAATGACTCCAAACATCATATGAAGGGACACCAGTGCTGGCAGAGAAACATGTCAAATTTAAAGTAAACTACAGGGATTAAGACAAACGATTGTTTCTGAAGGTGTCAGTGCATAAAGGCACATGCTTGTTTGTTCTGTAAAGATTTGTTCCAAACATTAGGAACGTTTTTCAGCTGATGGCTTAAGTTTCAATTTGTATTCTTCATTCTTTGGGGGAAAAGTAGTGACAGCATCAAATCATTTAAAGGAACCTCTGATCTGCTGGAAATAGGGATGCACCGATATGAAAATTTCAGCCTATATCGATATCCGATATAATTATTGCTGTTATAGCTGATAACCGATATTTACCGATATTACACAAACACACAAATTATATTACACATATACACACAAACACACTTAGGTCTTTTTTGATACCGTAAATAAATGACCAGACGTCTGACATGGCTCCCTACTTCACTTATTCCTGGTTACGCAGCGTCAGTATCACTATTATGATCAGACAGATGCTGCTCAACCAACCATCTCCTCCCAAAACAGAAACACAAAGAAAAAAAAGTGGGAACTCAATATGGGATGTTAATATCGGCCCAGTTTTACATATCGGACCGATACCGATATTCTAAAAAATTGCCAATTTCGGCCGATACCGATATCAATACCGATATATCGTGCACCCCTAGTTGGAAACATTGATTGTTAAGAATTTTGGACTTTGTTCCCATAAATATAACAGTAGGATTTTTAGCTGTTTGGTTCTCAGCTTGTCAGATTAACTGTGTTGACATTTTTTGTACTAAATACTCAATTTGTCTGCAGTTAATATGTTTTACAGTTTTACTTTGATCTTTGGAGCTCAGTATGTTGTATTAAATGAAATATTAAAGTACTACAAACCTGACTTGTACATGTGGTTATAGCCAATAATTACAAGTAATAAAACAATTTCTAAATGATTACTGGTATGCAGATTATTTATAAATGACCTCAGTATTAAGCTCCTCTCATCAGACCTTCATCCTGTTTGTTTGTTTTTTACCTTTTCTATGACAGTCGGTGAAGAAGTATCCATGTCGACACTGTGAGCAGTCGTTCATCTCTGCAACCAGCCTGAGGAGACACGTCCGCAGTGACCACGATGGAAGAAAGAGAATTTACAGTTGTTGGTAAGTTTAGAAAAAATCCAGAAGAAGTAGTATGTCCAGTCCTGGTCCTGAAGGGGCCACTATCCTGGTTCAGTGATTGAATTACCTTTGCAAAAAGCCTGTTAATCAGACATTTATTACAGTCAGGTGTGTTGGAACAGAGAAACCTCTAAAACATTCAGGATAGTGACCTTCGAGCACCAGGATTGGACACCTCTGCTCTATTCAAATTATTCTTTTATGTAGTTTATCAGAAATCACCAACACCTCCCTGTTCTGCAGGTATTGCACGGATACCAAGACAATATTCACAACTAGCGTGATGCTGAAGAACCACATAAGTCTTATGCATGGAATTAAAAACCCTGATCTCAGTCAAATGCCAAAAACATCCATTCAGGAATTCAAAAACGCTTCAGACAAGGTAGCTATTCTTTTATTTGTTTATTTATTTTTWCCTAAAAGCTGCCCTCAGTTGAACATACTACTGTAACAAATGGATTGTGATTTCCAGGAGTTTGTGTCTGCGACGCCTGCTGTGAGTGCGCAGGCTGACAGCCAGGATCCATCAGGTCTCGAGGCTCCTTCAGCCAAACGCCTGAAAACTCAGTTCCGCTGTTCAAAGTGCGGTTTTATCACCGCCAGGAGTGCAGAGTTCCAGCAGCATATACCTCAGCATAAAAGAGATAAAAACACACCTCAGTGCCTTCACTGCGGCCTGTGTTTCACGTCTGTGTTCTCTCTCAGTAGACATCTTTTTATCGTGCACAAAGTGAAAGAGCCCGAGGAGGCCGGAGAAGAAAGGGGAACGCAGGAGGAGTGCGGCAGTCAGCCGGTTACATCAGCAGACGCTGAGGAGATCAGTGACTTTGAAGAAAATCCTCACTGTTCCCAAACTACAGGCTCTCCTTTAAAACTAAACACTTGCTCTCAGACAGAAGCAGCTCCTCTCCAGCAGTGAGAGCCTCATAAGCTGCTGGGGGGAAAAAAAACAACTTTTCTTTTTCTTGTTTTTCCTGAAGTCTGAGCCACATTTATGCTTCAACCTCAGACTGACGCAGATCTTTCCGCTGTAGCCTCCTTCAAAATTGTAACGCATCACAGATTTCTAATGACCATTTCTCGTGGTGGTATTCATCTCCAGCTCGTTGCTTTGCTGGAAATTAAGGCTTGTGTGAATGAAGAATATAAAATTTAACCGGCTGTAGCAGAGACAGTTTGCTAATAATACTCCCAGAATAATTGTCACTGTGCCTGCTTTGGTTTTCTGCTTTTAAATGTTTTTTTTTTTTATTATTTTACTTTTGCTAAGACTTTGTTAAAGGCTATTTTTTTTTATTTTGACTTCTTCTTTCCTTACGTGTCTTTGAACTGAATGAATTATCAATTATTCATTAGTGCCCCACAGACTAAAGAAAACCCCACAAATATATGTTTTTGTTGCTGTTTGCTTTAGAAAACTTTGTGCCAAAAAATAAAAAAAGGGAAAGGTTACTGGTTTATATCTAGGCCAGGGTTATTAAACTGGTGGCCTGCGGGCCACATGCCTTCCATCCAGCCCACCAACTAGGCTCAGCCACCTACCAAAAAAAAAAAAATCCCCTTTCTTAAAATTTTTGCTTAAAATAAAAGTTCATTTTTAAATCAATCTTAATTTTTAAATTTATGATTCAATGCAACAAAATTACAAATATACAAGGGAAAATATAATACTTGTTTTTTTTTAAATAATAGTGTTTCCCCTATCATTATACCCCTCCCCCCAGTGGCAAAGAACTACAACTCCAAATATCCTTGATTGATCCATGTGAATGTTGCTAAAATAGTTTTAAAAAATAAGGCCAGAACGACAAAACAAAGCCTAAATTCGTTTATCTTTTCATTTGTAACTATTTTTTGTCTTTTCTGACAATTATAGTAAAACTATGCCAGTAAAATGTATTTTTTTTTATTTTTTCAAACCAACAATTCTCACACAAGCTGTCAATCTGACATTGAAGCATAAAACAACTTTTGATTAAAACGGTATACAAATATATTAAAGCAAATCCATATTTTTTGGAGAAAGAACTGTATTTTCATTGAATTACGCCACCTTTTGCATGTTTGTAATATGAAAATCCTTTCAGAAATTACTGCACATCGTATTATTTGTCTCCCTTTTAAATCCAGCCCAGCAAGATTCTCAGGAATTTTTGTTTAAATTAAACTCTTTACATAAATGAAACGAAGTAATGGATTTTTAGTATCGCGATCAGTATTAATGACATTTTTATCAAATATATTTGAAGTTTTGCATACAGTTATTTACCTGAATGGGATTCAAATGGAGATATTTACTGAAAAACAATGTTGCACATATTCCTACAGTTGATGACACAGTTTGTTTATGTAAACGTTATACTCCTGCTTTGTTTTAAACTCTTATTTGAAGGCTGTTTTGAAAAGAATCCAGAACAAATCCTTCTTTTAGTTGTCAGAAAATGTTTTTGTTTTTATGGTAATCAAACGTGTTAATTACGTGAATGCACGAGTCTTCTGAGGTCTGTCCTTAAGTTTTTGTGTTTCCACTCCTTTTCTATTTTTTCTTAAGTAGAGTATATGGAGGAAACAGCGAGGTATTAAACGTGTGCTGCAGCAGGATTGAAAATACCTCAAATCGCCAGAAGTGTAATTTTGCAAATGTTTGTGACCTTGTTTTGGGTAATCTGGAGAAAATGTGAGGGGAGACTTTGGTGGCATGTCTACAATAACGTTTTATAATACTTTCGATTCCGCAGTGGTTTAATGTCAGAAATCAGTGATTTATGAAGGTGGATGTTTGTTGTGTTGAAGTCCTGAGTTGTGACGCGGTCCCCCCATCTTTTGTGTTTTCCACCTGACGGTTCCTACCTCCCTGGTAAATGGCAGTGATTGTTAAATGTCTGAAGACGTTGAGAAGTTGCAGTTAATCTCAGTGCAATGTTAAGGACAAAAATGAGTTCATAAATTTGTATTCTCCCAAGTTATTAAATTTTATAAATTATGTTGGGAATGGTATTATGGCTTTATGGTCATATTGACCTAAATAAGTCCTCTCTTTCTACGAAGATGCTGTTTGAGACCATGACTCATCACACTGCAGCTATTCAACTTAAATGAGTTACTTGTTCATCATTTATTCATTTTTGTAATTCTCAATAAAAAAAAAACATTTGTACTTTTATACCGTGTACAAGAAAGACTTGTATGTGTACATATGTTAACCAGTGAAACTTGGATTCACAGCATTTCTTAGAGCCATTACATCTGTTCAGCATGCAGTGGCCCATGTGCCTTGCTGTTATGTTTACATACTTATTAATAAACTGGTGCATTTAATTATATACCTGCTTGTTTTTTTTTTTTTTTTTTTTTTTTTTTTTTTTTTTTTTTT